TGTTGTTTGAAACAGCGGCAGGATATGCCATGTTTAAACTACTGAGTGACAAGAAATTGAAAAACGTCGATAATATATATGAAGAATTCAACACGGCAGAAAAAGCCCAAGAAAAGTGAGAAGAACCCTAGTTATCCTATCCACATGGAATGACATCGATTATAATTCGTTCAGCTTGCAATTGATCGCATTCAAGAAGTTCAAAAGCACAGCGGATGCCGTAGAGAGTACATGTGCTTTGCAAGAAGGAAAAATGAATAAAACTTTGAAGAAATTGCTCAAAGGAAAAGTCAGTGAAAATGAGCAACTCGCTGTCGCCGACGCCAAACTAGGAAATTTGATCAAGGTTTGCTGAATTATGTCATTCTTGTTATGTTTTTATTTGGAAACAACTGTATTAATTTTTTGATTTATTGCTTTTCTCCATACCTGTTTAGTAAGAAAGATGCTTGTTTGTCTGCCATCAAGCGAAGATGACCCAAAATAATTAGGTGGCAGGCCTTCAGGAAGACCAAAACTGCCATCATCTGTCAGTGTTCCTCTCTATCCCCAATCCTCACTTCTCTTCAAAGTGCATCAATTGTTTAATAGTTGCGTTTCTGGTGCAACTTGGCTCGGGGAGGGGGGGTGGCGGACCGTAAAATTGCTTGAGATTCAGGAAAAACACTCAATTTTAGGACTAAGCTTTAGAGGAGAAGAGTTAATCCGTGAAGCGCAAGTGATTCTCTTTCGTTTCGGAATTCGCAAGCAGTCCTCTTCCTCTCAGGAATTCCTCCCTCTCCAAGGCCTTTCTACAAAATGCCTCCACCTGGTGGCCATGCGCTGCATTTTCTCTAGTGATGAGCTCTACTCTTACTGACAGTAATGAAACCTTTTAAGGCATGAAACATCTGTGGATCCTAGCCTATATCCTTTTTGAAAAGGCGTTCCTCGAGAGCAAAGCAGAAGGAGCTCAAATTTTTCATAAAAGTTGTACAGTCTATTTCATTTAATAGACCTACTCTATTGTTCCTTTTTTGTTAAATTGGAAAGCTCTGGACTTGTAATATTTCTAGACATAGAGCTGTGGGGCTTTTTCTCTGTGAGGTTCAAAGAAGCTTTGTTCATCAGAGTTTCAAGGAGTCTGCTCATCAGACCCTAACCTCCATTTTGATTTTTGATTGAGCAAGTACAGGAATTCGACATGACCAAGCGTGTTTGTCGCAAAGTTCATGTCTATGTGTGGTACATTTTTCGTTCACACAGTATTTAACGCAACTAAACTCTGAAATTCAGGAGAAGCTGGATGTCCCATGTGTGCATACCCCTGCGGTGGCCGAACTGATGCGAAGTATTCGAGCGAATATTGAATCGTTACTGGATGAACACAAGACGGAGTTAAGCGCCATGAATTTAGCCGTTGCCCACTCTCTTGGCAGGTACAAAGTGAAATTCAATCCAGAAAAGATAGACACGATGATTGTGCAGGTATGGTAAACAATCTTTAGGTTACAGATCGAAAATTTTATATCAGCTTTTCAATTTTCTCATTTTCAGGCTGTTTCTCTCTTTGGACGACTTGGACAAGGAATTGAATAATTATGTGATGAGATGCAGGGAGTGGTACGGATGGCATTTCCCAGAATTGGGAAAAATAATTCAGGATCATCAAGCCTTCGCAAAAGTTAGATATCTTTAATTGTATCGTTGTGTTTCGCTTTTGAGAATTATTTACTTTACCAATTATCTATTGTTTAGGTAATCAAAGCTATCGGTATGCGACAAAATGCTATTAACGTCGATCTTTCGGCGATTCTCCCTGAAGAATTAGAAGCCAAGGTGAAAGAGGAAGCCGAAATCTCGATGGGTACGGATATCTCTGAATTAGATCTCATTCATATCAGTGGATTGTGTGATCAGATAATCGATCTTTCTCAGTACAGGTGAGGATTTCGTTGCATTTGTTGTTCTCAGTTTTCAACAATATGTAATGCCGGCTTTAGGGCTCAACTCTTCGACTACCTCAAAAATCGGATGACTGCGCTCGCACCAAATTTAACATGCCTTCTTGGAGGGAACTCGTTGGAGCGCGGCTCATCTCACACGCTGGATCTCTCGTTTCATTAGCTAAAGCGCCCGCTTCTACGGTTCAAATTCTTGGCGCTGAAAAGGTGAGATTGGGCTTCCAAAGCCTAAAAAAATTTCTTCTGTTTGATGATTTCACTAATTCAAGGCCCTGTTTCGTGCCCTCAAAACCAAAAAGGATACCCCCAAGTATGGTCTTATATATCATGCCCAACTGATCACTCAAGCTCCAGCGAAGCTGAAGGGAAAAGTAAGTTTTTCTTTGATTTTCTGTTTCTGAAATAGTTAATTGTTTTGTTTTTGTCATCATCATTTACTTCCGCTCCAATTTATTTGTGTATAGGTTTTATGTACATGCTCTCTCTAGATGGCCCGTAAACTTGCTGCAAAATGTGCTCTCGCAACTCGCATAGATGCCTTGGCAGATGATTCGAGGGGAGCTGAGGTGGGAATGGAGTGCAGAGCAGGTCTGGAAGCTGTTCTCCGTGGAGAACAAGAACGTGGACCGAAGAAAATAAGTGGTGGCTCTCACAAGCATGAGAAATATCACTTTAAGAGGTACTAGCGGTTCAAGTTGCTATTTCAAACTTCACATAGTGTATCCTGGCATGCACAACCGTATCTTTTTTAGCGAAACATTTGAATATGACGCTGCTAACGATGTTCCCAAGAAGCCCGTGAAGCGACGGTTCGAGGATGAAGAGGAGGAGCCTTCATCGAAAAGGGTTAAGGTACATTGGAGTTTTCATTCAGTTGATCAAATGAAGACAACGAATTTCATCTTCGAACATTTGTAGGTTGAGGAAGAAGGCGAAGAGCCTGAAGCTGTTCCAAAATCTGAGAAAAAGAAAAAGAAGAAGGATAAGAAGGTGAAAAAGGAAGCAATGGAGGAGGAAGAAGAAGAGGAATGAAGTTGTTGTGATGTGGTTTGTTTGCTCACTATGTTGTTTTATTTGTTGTTATGAGCCGTCAAGCCGGGATCTTGATTGTGTTGTTTACAGTTGTTGTTGACTTATTGTTACATTGTCGATAGATTTTTCACGTTCACCCACGGAGTGTATATTTGAAGTCTTATAAAGCATCAGCTTGAACACCTGCTATTTCAATCTGACAAACTGCAGGCATCATCCTCGATATAAGACACAAGCGTCACGACCTTATACGTTTGATCGCAGATTGAAATGTAGGTACTGACGCTCGTTGTTGATGGTTCTCGATATTATACTCCTTTCGGTGAACTCCAGTTTGCGGGGGGGGGGCAACTCCCTGATATTTATCATCAGTAGCTGAAGAGCACGCCCTTTTGGTATTGATAGGTAATAGGTGAACGGCCCATTTCAAGTGCACTTTCATAAGGACCGGTGTATCCACAACATTACGCTCATCCTGCTTACATCCTGGGCAATTCATGGCATGTGTCGGTGCTACCCTGGCTCCTACACCCTTCCGCCTAGGAAAGGATGTCAATCCATAGTTCAGGACCATTTCCTTGGACCACAGCAGGCAGAAATCTGAAAGCACCTTAGGAGTACTTCACACATACACCGGCCTTATCAAAGTAATTTAAATGAATCGATTACGTGTCATGAAAATCTCTTATCCTTATCCTTAGTAATGGATAGCACAATGAAGCCCTCCCCCGAACTGAAGTTTCGCCCTCCTTGTCATACCCCGGAGTATTAACCGAAGAGGCCAAGCAAGGCCTATGTGTTATCACAAGGGTGTATGCAAATTAGGTTCGCAAAATAGCAGTTAGAGACGATATACAAAATGCGTGAAAGAATGGTCTTCATGGCTAGTGTTAATAGACCCATATCACATTTTCAAGTGAATCGATTTTATTACAAAAATCGGGTTGTTATGGTATTTGTATCTCTTCTGATGAGTACTGATTACTTCGAAGAGTACTGTTAAGCAAATCCTCATTTGATCCGGCCACTCTGTGTCGATTGCTTCGTAGAGTTCCGTTGTGTACGGTGTTGTCCAACTCGACAACTGAATGTCGATTGCTTCCTAGAGTTCCGGTTTGTTACAGTTTGTCCAACTCGACATAAGCTGATGTCGATTGCTCGAACAGTGCCGTTGAGCGTGTCATCATCCAAATCGACCGCATGGAAATTGTGCTATCTGAAAAAGTGGGTGTAGTCGAATTTAACAGCGACGGCTATGGCCCAGCTTAAGAAGTAACCACTGGAAATTTTTATTGGATTGCTGCTATGAACTAATTTTCGGTGGTCAGCTTTTCTTCAGCTAACAAACAGCCTGAGCATTAACACAAGAACGGAAATGGAAATTTAAATTCCGCCCCCCCCCTCCCCCAGCCCTTAGATTAGTTTTTCATAATAATGCAAGTTTTGTGGTCAATTGGAGGAATAAAGGCAGGCATGTGGTTTTTGGAAGCAGGGGTAATTCCGGGAAAGAACAATTGGAAAAATTCCAGTGACAGCTTAATAGCTTCACTTCCTTCGCTATCTAAATTAGATCTCTCTTCATCTACTACTTCTTATGTTGAGTTATGTAATGAGTAGGTTACGTTAATCACTACGGCGTGAAATGGCAGCAAACCTGCTGCTTGGCCCAATTGCTCTTTCGTGTTGAGGGCGTGCCTCTCGGTCGGGCTGCGCATTCCAACCCTGGACAGCCTGTTGTCTAGAATACATATTGTTATTGATATCTATTACACCCCATATATTGTTTTTTATTACTATTGACTGAATTAGATCAAATCAACAATCATCTATTTCTACGGCCAGAGCAGCGAAGCTAATAGCGCGATCGTAAAAACGTATCTAAAAATAAATCTTGATGGCTCTCGTTCACACTTCCCTTAATGCTTGAATCTAGGGATGAAAAGGATATCAGCGAAAGAATAGTCTCACCTAGTTGATGAGGATTGCTTTTGGGGTCCGTACAAGACTTCGTAAAAGAACTGAAGGGATATCCCATGATAGTTGAGTGGAATGCTCCCAGCTGGTCCAAGGCTGGTGTCAGAGTCCGCGATCCGTCGCGCGATTCGCGCGAACCGCGCGACGGGTTGCGGACTCGGACATCAGCGCAATCGATTACTGGGAGACCGTCGTCACTTGTGGAGTGTGGTCTGCACACGACGCGCATCTGGTTTTTGGAAGCAGGGGGTATAAGTCGAACTCAACCGCGAATACCGCGGTTCTCCGGTACATTGCACAAGTTCGTGGAACAACAGCACAGACTGATCGGAATATTTTGGAAGGTCGTGGAGATACATTTGTCGCGAGCTAGCTGAAATAGAACTGTTTTTCTACACAACAATGACGTCATCCACAACGATGAAACGAAGCAATTCCTCTTTTCTGCTTGCAAAGGTACACTACTGTGGGCCAATCACAATCGTACTTTCCCGTAATGGAAGGAAATTGGATCTCTTTTTGAGAATTACTCTCTCAATTCCGCAAGGAGGGCGGTTATTTCCGAGATCGTAACCTCCCCTTCAAAAGCCAGAAAGTGTCGGGTGCAGACCATACACCACAAGTGACGACGGCCTCCAGAAAATGCAAATGTTTTTTGCCAATGAAATGATTAACCTGTTACAGTTGTATTCGATCAGTTGACAGTAATTACAACTATCATTTACTAAAAATCAGCTATCACTATGAACCACTACTAACCAGATTTACTTGGAGGCCGTCGTCACTTGTGGTGTATGGTCTGCACCGCACAATTTCTGGCTTTTTGAAGGGAGGGTACCTCTATTTGAAACGTCGCTTCACTAAGGTAATGTCCAGGAGGCAAAAAAAACGGAGCTGGACCAGAAGAGGAGAAACTTCAGGATGTGTGAGCAATTTTCATTTTTTCTCGGTTGCTCTTGGCGCTAATCTTACAAGGAATGGGGTCTTTCAGGGTGTGCCAAGCTTTTTCAAAACGGTCTTTTGCATGATATATAGAGGCACATGCGGGAACCACAGAACCATGGTTAATTTTTCCTGAACGGCCCTCTGAATACCAGAAAAGGGGGTCCCTAGTCACACCTTTTTCACCAGTTTTTCAATCAAAGTCTATTTGTAAGGGTTACTGACGTTCCTAATCATGAATTTGGTACTAATTATTCATGCTAACTCCATTTGCGCGAATTTGGAAACGTCAACACGAAATGCAAAAACTTGTCACCACGAGGAATCGAACTAGGGACCCCTTTTCTGGTATTCAGAGAGCCGTTCAGGAAAAATGAACCATGCTTCTGTGGTCCCCATATGTGCCCCAATGTCATGCAAGAAACCATTTTGAAAAAGCTTGGCACACCCCTGAACGACTCCCTCGTTAGGTCTATTTCTGGAGGGTGCCCCCATATTTTGCGATAGCGCCCGGTTTTCATTCTTAATGATAAGGTTAGCTAAAAACTTTGGGTGCTAACTTAGTTGGGGCCACGCGGCGGCGCGGCAGTCTGCTCACCTGGGCTCTCTCGAGCGAGACAGTGTAAACTCGAACATTCCAGCTTTTCACGCATGTCAAGTGACTGCCCCCCCCCCCCCCTAGGCTGGCCTACACTCCCCCTGGCCCACGGATTTCCGAACATGCCAGGCGAGCAGACTGCCGCGCCGCCGCGTGGCCTTCCCCAACTAAGTTAGCACCAAAAACTTTAATGATGATGTAACCACTCACCATACACCGCCACATGGAGCAGCCAACCTTTGACTATGTCGATCAGGACGGCTGCGTTTGCGGACATGTTGTAGCAGTATGCCTGGCTATTGTCGCATCTTATCGTCTCGGTGCCCACCGATTGGCCGGCGATCAACTTCAGACCCTTAAAAATGTTGTTAATACCAATCTAAGCCATTTCCATAGATTTCCTACCAGGAATCGGTTATCTGATCTTTTCATCCGTGCATTCAACACTCACTTCTTGACCTGCTTCCATAAACTTTCTACCATACTATTTAAATTTGTTAAAGTGCCCACACAATAATTTCCTTCGCTTTACCTGCATGTGTTCTTATTCCACAACCAGCCCTGGGCACTTTTGAACCGTTCATACCAAGTAGGGATAATCTGTAAATTGCAGGTAGGCGTTGGCATTTTTCAATGTAGTGGGGGGGGTGAATATGGCTGTAGATTCGGCCAAAATACTCTGGTTGCTGGCAATTCCACGCATTCCTGTGGAAGCTTCGGCTAAAGATCGGTCGTGAATCCGTCAAGCTCTACAAATTCTCCTCTCCTCAGTGTAAGTATCGCTAACGTACAACACTGCCCACGTCACCGATCACTGACCCAGCCAACCTTCCTCTTCCAAAAATCGCCTGAACAGCCCCTCAGTCGACTTAGTACAGTGCATGGTGGACCCATGATGTAGGTTTCGGAAGTTTACTAAATTGTCGCTTATTCTGCTTCCGTTCAAGATCAAAGGAAGTTCTTTAACCCATAACGGACGGCGTGCGCCACATGGTGGCGCACGATTATTTCTTTTGTTTTTGGAATGTTTCTAGCAATCTTAATATACCCATATATACTCTCAGCAATGTGGAATAACATATCTTCCCAGGACCTGGACGGCTGGATTTTTGACAAACCTACAATAAATTTTACATACATTTTGTCTTAATTTACATAAGTTTACTATTTGATGGGTGGCTTACCCATGGTTCGCACGTCCCGAGACCCCTTCCCCTAAATATAGCCACATCCTTGCTCGGGGTTGTTGTTTCGCATTTTTCGATAATGTCACCTACAGCTTCCATTCATTCTTTGCACCCTAGTTTTAGAGCGGAAAGGCGGGTTACGAACTTGTCGTCAACGGAAATCTCTTCTTTTGGATGATGAGACACGGACACCTACTTTAGCCCCGTCTTAACCCTGCTGTTCGCATAAGCCTACATAAACCCTACCCTGGGTGGCGGCGTGCGCCACATGGTGGCGCACGCGAAAAATACACTGGCCGTCCGTTATGGGTTAACCATGGCAGGATTCATATAGTAGACTATGCGCTACCTATCATCGAACAAGGTCGAGGTGTAACTCTGTCGGCAAAAAATCTTGCTGTGCAAAGTGGAGCAGTGCCATTTATAACACGATAACCATCTGTCTGGCCGCGATGCGTCGGAACTTCCTACATGAAAGACGACCAAATGTAGATCAGAGATCGGTTCATCTTTTTGAACCTACATAGGACTTTACAAAGAAGCTGTCAGCGACAATCTCTATGGGTACTG